AAGGTCATATTGAACATGGTGACGCGGTGATACCGTATTCATGTTCTCTTGTTCTCGAAAACTCAATCATCGAAATTGAATTACTTTTTTTAGTTTTGTCTTAAATTAAGCTGCTACGCAACACTTACGTAACGCGATGAAGCACCGAAAATGGGTGAAGAAAATGTGTCTCAGTAATGCGTGTTTTCCACTCATAATGCACTGTACTTTGTTTGAATAAGCAATAAATTATTTGTGATCTTAGGTTATCCATTGTTCGTTATCAGAGTTAACAGATTCTTTGTGTGATTTTTTTTCAGAATCCCAAGAGTGGATGCCTTACTGAGCACAGAACAGATATCACCATTGGTCCACATATGTCAGGAAGAATGTTTTAATAATGAACTTTGTGTTACACTGAACTTCATTTTGTTAAATTTTGTATTTAACTGAACTTTATTGTATTAAAATAATAATAAAAAAAAATAATTCAGATAAAAAACTACAATCTGGAACATTCTTTAGATCAACTTCGTTCAGTGTGTGTCCCATGTGACAGAGTTACAGTAAATAAAATATGTGCATTATTCCTCTGTGTTTGTCAATTCCATTTTAAAAGCATGTGAAAGTGGTGTGCCCCTCATGATTGAAGTGTGTATGGATAGTAGCAAAAATATTGTTATTATTTACATGATTATAAAAAAGTTTTTATACCCTCATCAATAACGTTACCGTGACCCACATATTCACCATTTTTATTAATTATGAAATGTGGATGAAATTCTTCAAAACCAGTTTTGAAGCATTGAGACAACACCCCCTTATTTAAACTAAAACTGAAAACATTCCATTAGACTTTCATTTCATTAGTTTGTGCAAAATATATTACCCAGGGTAACGCGTCTTGGATTTGGTGGGTATAGCTGTTCAACTCTCCTGTGTGCCCTAAAAAGGGCAGCTGCTGTTTCCCTTTTTATGAAATGATAAACTGTGATGGTGTACCTATCACATCGCAAAATTACAGCTTCCCAGAGAAAGTTTGAAATTTTCGGTCAAATTCAACATTTTGTAACCACTAGCAAAGAATGACTGAAAAACATATTGAGAAAAGGCAAAATACGGAGCGTACCTGTGCCGATAGACATACAGTATTTTGCTGGCATTCTTCCGATTTTGTTACTTATATACTCTCGCTGTGCACAAACCACGGTGCATATTGAAAACCCCACTGATACAACCCAAACTTAAAAAAAGCATTTACTTGCCATAATTTTCACAAAACAGGTGCATTTATAATTTGACGTGAGAATTGAGCACATGCAGAAATGAGAGACTGGTTTTATCTGGTCTGCTCCAGCATAGCGCAAACCACATGTTAATGAAGACGGTCCCATTTTGGGGGAGGGGGTCACAGGAATGGAGTTCGTCGTGGATTACGCTAAATATTATCAACATTTCATGCATCTTGGGAAATAGAAAGTGAATCACAGGTAACGTAAATACCCAGTGGAACTTTCTATGAAGCTCCCATGGAGTTAAGGAAGACGCCATTTTTATTGTTGACAAATCAGTTATCCATGTAGGTGAACAGCGACACGTGTTCGTCAGATTTTGACAGCGCGTGGTATTTGGCGCCAAGAAGTCTGGGCGGTCGATCCCGCTGATCTTTCGGTCGATTGTAGTAAATGTACGGTAAAGTCTTGAAAATTTCGTCGCTTAAAAATTAATTAATATTTTTAATTGAGTAAATCCGACTAATTTTTCAAAATTACCTCTCCCCGACTCCTGGGTATGACGAAATTTTCAAAAATCTGGCCTTTGGGCTTTTATCCTTAGCGACTGTTATCTTTGACCCTCCTATATGGTGGGATATTTATTACTACTTCCTAAGTCATTTTCTGGTGGTGAATAATAATCTATTTATTAGTGCATCTCGATTAAGTTATATTTAACTTACTTTACCTGGAAACATGTTGAGAATTATTTTCTCGGTAAGAAACATATACCTCCTGATAGAGGAGAAGGATCAAGAAAAGCCTAATTGCAACCTTGCATCATAACCTGGACGCGACATGTTAAAAAAATTACACACATGGGAACGTTTGTTGCATGCAGGGCTTTTCCCAGGATTGAGTGTCAGGCCTTCTAAAAATACCATCTGTAACTTCCAAAAAATTTACAGGGAGTTAAAATAATGATCTCCCGTTGACGATATTCTGCAATTTAAGTTCCTTGAACTAATATGAAAACTGTTTTTTATTATTGCTTACATCTNATAAGCACTATTATTGTCATCTGGGACAAAGGAAAAGACAGGTACGTCATGCTTCCAGATTAGATCTTCAATTAATTGTTTCTTCCTCATTGACGAGAGGTATTGAAAGGACAACAATTGACAAAGGGCCGAGGCATGCAGCATCTTTTTCACTGGCTTGAAAATTTACCGAGTCTTGTCGACGATGTGGTCGAACAATCGGAACAAGAAAAAAATTCTGTCCCATGATTTTGACGTATGGACTAATTGTTTGAGCCCAGAAAAATTAATTTTATAAAATAATTTTTGTGGTCGGATTGACTGGGCCTGTCGAAATGCTTGGCACATTACCGTATATCAAAACTTTCTTGATAATTGATTTTGTCTGGGTATACCCAGTATAGGAAGATGACAGCAGTTTTAACTTGTGCCTTTTAAACATTAATCAATAAGACATATTTGTGAACACTATCACTATAAAGACAGATTGCGCAAATGCCATTACAAGAAAAGAACATATGACAATGTTCTGACTTATGAGGCCTTATGCTCAAGGGACCTTTTTACTGCTTCATTAAGTTTTCAGTTGTATTTCTTCTTACCACACTTTTAATTGCAGAATATAAAGTTCTACTAAAATTCATTGAATGAGAACATAAATGTAAATTAAGGATAATACCAATCATTTCGGCTATGTTGAATATGAGACGCATTAGCAAAGGACGTAATGTAAAATATTGGCAAAATATCTCACTTCACTTCTGCCATAATTGTACAGAATTCCCTGTAATCAGAGACAATTTTTCTGGTCATTGCCCAAATGAGCTTAACTAGATTCAACAATTGGAAGCTAAATCTTTAACTTGACTAGAATGGTCTACTTGTTAATATCCCTTTGGACTTAAGATACAGAATTTTTTTCAAGGAATCATTTCAACAATGTGCCAGATGGACAAATAAATCCTCAGAGAGCTGGCAAAAACATGTTTGCAACTAAGAAATTTCTAAATATATTTTCATTGTTCTGAGATTATTATCCTGCATGAATGGTGCACATGAAAGGGCACCCTCTCTCCCCCAATAATAATAAAAACCCTGATAAAAATGGGTGCTCACATACACTGTTTGTGCAAATACAATACTCAAGTATACTAAGCATAAAAAATTTTTCAATTTTTGGATGGAAAATCTGCAGGCTTGTTTTGAAGCAATTCTGCAGCAAATGGGGCAAACCATGTGACCAATTTGCTGCAGACTAGCTCTCTGTAAACACACAATGTACACTGGAGAGCAAAAGCAACACAACTTAAAATATCACATATCTAATATACTGCAAAATCTGGTTATTAAAAAAAATTTAAGTGTTAACCGACAATCTGATAATTTTTTTCCGTTAAGTATTTACACATACTCTTTAAAATGTAAAGATAATTCAAATTTAAATCATTTAGTATATGTCCATAACTATTATGCTATAGAAGAGAACTACATAAAATATTTTAAACAGAGCATTTTTGGAGATTCAGATTTTCAATGAGAGTTCTAAATATAAATCTCTACGTAACCAGATTAAGCAGTACTGTTTGTAGTGTGCTGTCAATGCTCTCATAAAACTGTGGAAGACACACACTGGCGTAGTCTGGTAGCACAATTATGTCTGCGTGGATACAGAACTCAAAGTATGTGCAAATAATAAGATGAATCAAAAAGAAATATTAATCTATGAAACTATTAAGACTGTTATTTGGTCCAGATAAAAAGGAATGGATTCTTTGAAAAGTGCAATGCGCTAAACAAAATTAAAATTTGACATTATTTGAAAAATGAAAATTAGGTTGTTTAACTACAGGCCATTTAAAGGGGTAAAAAAAAGAAATAATGTTCACTACATAGAACTAAAAAACTGAACTTTTCTCAAAAGAGACTTAGTCAAAGCATCTATGTGCTAAGTGTGATTAAAAAAAGCGATGCTATAAGAAAAAACTTGTGCAGGTCTTCTAGAAAAACAAAAAATTTTAATAAGATCCACAGACAGAAATGTTACACCAAACTACACTGCATATTTGTCTTCCAGTTGTCAACATTCTGCACACCAGGGGGAGCTGTTCTCAAGGAAAGATGGCTGACTAAAGCTTCAAACAAAATCCCTGAGGAAACAAGATCTCATCTTTAGAAACCAGTATTTGGCAAAATTTCTCTAACATCCTTGTTTTTCTTTTTGTGTCAAGATCTTATCTTCACCAGTGTTAATTTCTTTTGTTTAAAATTATCTCAACAAACAAAACAAGAACCAACAGAGAAAAGATGCCAGACAGAGTGACAAAAGCTGAAATGAGTGAGAACAGAGCCCCCTGGTGTGAAGAATGCCTGTGCTGTAGCTCTACCTGGAGCCTGGGAGATTTCCAAGTTGAAGATCTTGCTGAGGGCGGCCTGAGCCGCATGCGCCTTGGCAACTTTTTTGTTTCTCCCCGAACCCTGAAAAGTCTCTCCGTCCACCGTCACTTCCATAGTGAAGCTCTTAGCGTGGCTCTCTCCCATTTCAGAGACAAACTCATATTTCAGTCCTGGCCGCTGCTCGTTAAGAATCATGACGGGATTTTTCCCAGAAGGCTGGGGAGGGATAGGCTTTGGCAGCCCAGACCCATTTAGCGAGGCAGGGGCTGGGTGCATAGCGCCATCTATATTTAGAGCTACCTGTGTTCCGTTGCCGTTCTGGTTGTCCCCATGCTGCTGGTTGGACTCAAAACTATTGAAGATGAGATCAGCATTTTCTGCTGCATCTGACGTAAAATCTGCATTGGTCACCATTTGCTTTCCCATGGCCTGCATTGCCTCTGATGCATTGGGAAACTGGACAAACGACCGAAGGGCTTTCTCTGCAGCATTGAGCTTGGCCCTCTTTTTAGTGTTCCCGACACCTTCAAATGCCTGTCCGTTCACCTCCACAGAGATAATGAAAGTGGGTGCATGCACAGGGCCGCTCTGCGACATCACTTTGTACTGTAGCCCAGGCTTGATTTCATTAAGTTGCATCAAGGCGTTTTTGGGGAGAGGAGGACCCGATGTCTTCTTCCTCTTTTTCTTCTTCCCCCCACCATCTAGCTGATCTGGAAATGGTCGCTTTCTGCCTCCTGGCAGCATCTCGATGTCTCCGTCTGAGTCTTCCTGAGTTGGTATGTCCTCTGCCTGACCTTGTTCTGCTTCTTGACGCTGTTTCTTTATTTCTTCGTCTATGAAATCAGGCTGCGGTTCACCTGAAATGATAAGACAACATAAGATTAAGATAAAGAGTGAGACTAAACATTAACATTACATAAGATTTAGTATTACCCTGACTTTGGTAAAATAATTGTAGCAGGTGCTCAAAAAGTTTTATGTAGCAGCAGGTGGAACCCGACAGCATCATAATTCTTATTGCAGGAATACATTGCTTCCTGTTACAAAAAAAATCCTTCTTAACATGTCTACAGTGAATTTACATTTTAGGCATCCTTCTCTGTTGTATCTGTAGCAAGGTATTTCCCAGAGAGCCCTCTAGCCATCATTTGGACAGCCACTGGGCTCAAAAGATGGCCTATATTTTCAAAGACAGCTGGATCCTTTAAGAAATTTCTGGGGAATGACGGTATATTTGTAGTTGGACTCCCTGTAAATTGGTGACAAAATCAGAGATCAACATTTTGGACACCCTGTATCCCAAACCCTGGGGAAACCCTCTAATCTGTTGTGATAGAAAATACTATACACTTGGTTAAAACTATTCTCAATACATGCAGAGAAACGATTCAGAACCATGTTGATTCTTGTCACCCCAGAAGAGACCTTTTAATCGGCAACCTAAGCATGGACGTAATGAATTCTTACATCATAGGTCTTATCTCACTCAGAGCTGGGTATCTACACTGGAATTTGTACCTTAGATATGCAAACCTTGTTTTGAAATGAACAATAATTAAAATACATATTGCAATTTT